AGAAATACACACATATGCATGTATATATCACACATATATTATGTAAACACAATTTTTTATTTTGGATGCGATTAATCGCGATTAATCGTTGCCCAGCCCTAAAAACATTTGTCAGATATTCAAGACTTTATTTTGGAATGGTAGTAATAACCTCATAGAGATCATTCAAAAATGAACAAATCTGTTATTTACTCACCGTTATGTTGTTCTAAACCTACTCTACCATTCAAAAGGGGATGGTATAGCAAGAGAGTTCAAATGTTAATTTCCCTTGTTTTCTCAGAGAGTAGCCCTCTCTTCCAGTTCTTCCAGTCTTACAATTTCTCACCATAATCCTTTTTTTTTTTAATGGTGGTATATATGACTTTCTTCTGTTGAAGCACAAGGTTTAATGATGCCGTTCTCATCCATACAATAAAAGTGGACGGAAACATCATAAAAGCAGTGTATGCAACTTGTTTGTTTTATTCCAAATCTTCTTCAGCCGTATGATAGTGTGAGGAAAAGACTGGTCATTATTCACTGAAAGTTTTGTCTCGACAGCCGTGGTCACCATTCACTTTCATTACGAAAAGGGCAGCTTGCATATAAATAACAATCATTGTATTTTCACAGTATAAAGAAAGTGATATGGGCCATGGGGGTGAGTAAACATGACAGAATTATCATATTTTTTTTCAGTGAACTATCACTTTAAAGGTTTATGCTAAACACTTTGGAATGCTTTTAGTTCTTTAAAGCACAAGAATGCCATTATCCAGAATGTGTTCCTTGAGACTGGACCAAAGAGCAATAAGAGTCCTCCGCTGGATATTATCCCGATAAATCACTGCATCCATAAAGATTGATCCAGCTAAGCTTTGTTGTTTTATTTTGGTTAAATACAACTTAACGCTGTAATTACGCTTCCGACCTGATTGGTGTTTAGAAGAAGCTGAATTCATTATCATTTTGATAGATGAGTCTAAATAATCAGCCCATAAATAATGCATACCATATTCATTATGCATGTGTATGCATGCCTGAGCACCTCATCAACCTGATGCCAGCCCCTAAACAATAGAGTTCCTTTATTAGCGGCAAACCCGAGTTTACGCTTGTTAATCTGCGACTTGTATTATTTTATCAAACATTCATTTAGTTTGCGTGCCCGTCTTAATGGCTCCGGTTCTGGCCATCATTTAGACCTGGAATATTACAAACACAATTAAAACCCTGCAGGAAAAGCTTTTTATTGTTGTTTGAGGATAGTGTGCCTGACAGCTGAAAACAGAGTTCCACAGAAGGGAATTACTCATGCCCCGCACACCGTGCAAGGGCTTTACCCTCCGCTTCATATCTGTCTCTGAGAATATGCCTCATGCCCGCTACGAGTCCTGCGAGTCCTGCCACTCTTAACTAATCCGCTCCTGTGGCGTTCTTTTAGACACATCTTTTATCTGCCGTGTCTGTGAGCATCGTTGGGTTTTATAGGAAAGTTTTCTGTTTTCTGCAGCGGTATAACCTAATAACAGCGGACTCGGTCTCCCCAGTGCCCTCTTTGACTGTGAAACTAAAGCCCCATTCTCCATGTGGGCTTTTATTTGTTTCTAGTGTGGCGGTTATTGCCATCCCCGAGAGGTCAATTTATCATTTAGATGCACTGGTCAATTTTTTAGCCACAGAATCACATGCAATTTCTTGTCTAATTCTGTGTGTGTGTTCTTCTCAGCAAACCTCCGTGACCAGTCGCTTTGCAGTGATGTGCACCCGACTTCTCCACACCAATCTTTCTTTGGTATATTACAGCACGTTTTTTCTGATGTGCAAAGCGCAGGGCATTGGCTATGATGTCAAGGTAAAACCTCTGCTCGCGTCGCATTAATTCAACTGGAGTTCTTTGATTGCAGAGCAAGTGTTTTTATGTACTTCTGTTAATGTTTCAGGCAAGGCAAGGCACTGTGTTCGCCCTCCATGACAGCAGAGATAGAAGGAGTCTTGGCATGCTGTGAGTTCCCACATGAAGCAGGCAGATGCATTACCCTTGTCTTTCTCCAGTTTTGTTTTCCCTTCTTCTGTCCCCATTACCATTAGAGATGTATCTAGACCTTGAGCACACTCCCAAGAGCAGATTAAACATTATGTAGTGAATACCTCAACCTGAAATGTGTCAGAGTGCGAAATACTGCCAAGTCGAATTAAAAGCATTCATCACATAAATCCTATACGGATCACATCGAAGCCCTGCTCTCCTTCTTCATTTCTCCCTAAAGAATAGCACACTCTTTAAGGCTGAGAGTTCTCATTAAGCTCCTTACAGCCCCACAGCCAAACAAGGTGATTGTTTTTTTGTTTTTCTCTGATGATGGTTCTGGGGGATCATTAGTAAGCTCGTTTGTTTCTGTGTGTCGTTAACAGAACAATCTCGGAGAATCTCCAGGGAGCGCTGCTGACCTTTGCTCGCAACCTGTCAGTCATTCATCAGGAAATATCAGCGCCAAATATGCAAGGAGCAAACAACTTTAAGGTATGCGGATGTATTTTTTTGGACCCTGCGCTTAAAAGTCCTTATGCTAATGGGATATTCTCTGCTTCACTTTAGTCATTAAAAAACACTATAGATGTTTCACTTTCAAGTCATGTATCTACAAACTAGGACAGAAATCACAAGGATTTTTGAAAGTTTCACCATATCAAAAATGATGATTTTAGAGACTTTACAAAGACAATGACCTGACAAACAAATAGTTAAAGGCTTAGTTCACCCAAAAATGAAAATTCTGTCAGTATTTACTCACCCTCATGTTGTTCCAACCCTCTATGTGTTTATTTGTTCTGCTGTACACAAAGGAAGATATTTGGAAGAATGTTTTAATCAAACAGATCTCATTCCCCATTGGCTACCATAGTAGGAAAAAACACATACCTGTACTATGGTAGTCAATGGGGAATGAGATTTGTTTGATTAAAAATTCATTTTTGGGTGAACTAACCCTTTAACAAAAACATATCCACAACACTGCAGTAAGTATCAGTAGAGGAGTCCACTACTCCACTATTTGCTCCAAAAGGCTCTGCAAAACTTTAAAGTAATGCTAGTAATAATAATAAACTTCATGCTTCACTTTATTCAAAGTTGTTTGGGTGTATTATTCAAGTCAAACTGGGTTATGACAGCATATTTCTTTTGGCAAATGATGAGTATACAGGCTCATATAGTGAAAAACCGGTTAAGAGTTTGCACAAAAATATGTCACATTTTGTCTAAGCATGTTTTTCAAAAAAATAAATAAATAAATAAATAAATATATATATATATATATATATATATATATATATATTGTCCATATTAAAACTAAAGTTTATTATTAAACTGTCATTATACCAAAGATTCACTGAAACATTTTGTGGTAAAGAGAAGTAAACTTAAAGTAACTGAGCTTTTGGTCAATCATAGATGAGAAAATTGTACTTTTTGAAAAAGCATAATTGCCTTTCATATTAACATCTTATACAATACACAAGTTATTCATCTATTAAAGTCAAGGCTTTATCTCTGACCGCTATTTGCAGCTGAAGTCATACAAATGTAGAACACGGACTTTGTGAGTGAATTGGAGATTCTCTGACACTTGCTTAATTACTGCATTTAACACACTATTATTTAATTTGATAGAGGAATTCTCATTCACTGTTCAGTGATTAGAGGTTAGGATCTACAGTATAGTCAGCCATATACTGAATGTCTGCGATTGTTTGCTTTTATAAGGACCTTATCCATGACATCGAGGAGATCCTGGGCATGACCATGCAAAACCAAACCACTTCTCAAGAAGAAAAGGAGATTCCTGCAGTCGGAAGCGAACAGTTATCACCTCATAAACCACACAGATCAAGCCCAAATAAATCAACATAGTTGAAATGCCATATCAATAGCATTTGCACATTCAGTTATACATTTCTGTCAACAAACATTTCTATAGAACTTAGTTATAGCTATAATACATGACCTTTTGGTTACATTTTTAAAGTGATCTAAAATGTTGTGCAATTTTTTTGTGTTGTTTGTAAAGATTAACAATGGGAATATGATGTGCCACTCATGGCATTTTTCTAGCTCATCATGTACAGTAGGTTGAGACGACAACTTGGGATAGTTGATTAATTCGTTCCGCCCTGAATTATGTTCCAGGAACACAAAACATAACTATGCAATAAATCTTCTTTAAATTTATAATCACTCAAAAATAAGCAGTTTTTGATCCTTTTTTTAAATAGGTAGCATACTATACATTATAATTGTACATCTATATTGTACATCTACTGTTTGAATATATTGTATAACTAACGCTATACTAGATGTGCCATTCCACCGTATGGGTGACATTTGCTTGTTGTAACTCTTCAAAAATAAACTTTATTTATATAAACTTTAAAAATTAACTTTAACTTTATCAACATTGAATCTAATACTACACATATTTAACTATTCAAAATGTGTATTGGTCAATCTCAGGCAACTTTATTTATTTTTTACAAGGTTTAAGCAGAATATGGACGCATGTTTTCTCAATCCTGTTACCGAAAATCATGTGTCATTTAAAAAGCAAGTTTAGAAGCTTGTGAATTAATTCCTTTGTTTTCCACACAAGAAAGTGTTTATTTTAAAGACATTGTTGGTTATATGTTCAAAAAAATTATATTTGTGCCCATAAAATCACTATTAAAGCAAGGTGTATTTTTATATAAAAAAAAAAGACAACCAAAGACAAATAAAAGACTATTTTAAAGACAACCGAAGCCTTAAGCTTATTTTTTTTAGAATGAATTCAAATTTCATGACATGACTAAAATGTGTATTTTATCTAAAATATTAGAGCAAATTTTTTTTCTTTTTTCATTTTAAAGAAGTCACACTACAATGAAAGAAAAATCTGATTTCTGAAGGATTTTAATCATAATATTTCATGGTAAAGTTTAGAGATAGAGAGCTGGGACATGCAGAAAATGCTATTTTTTAGTGTTCTGTGTCGTTTTTATTAATGTTTTTAATTATACGTTTTAAATTTGTAGTTAGCTTAATGTGCATGACATTTTGCTTAATAATAAAATGTATTTTAGAGTTAATTTTCATGCAATTTTATACATATAATGTCCTGTGGACAGAAATGTCACCCTTTCGGAGGAATGGCTCACATTGTATGTTATGTTTAATTCGCATGAGAATAAAGATCCATACTGCAGTATCTATGCTAGAGCAAATAGGAACAAAAAATCGCTTGGTGTTTCTTCCCGGAGAAGATATGTATCGTACCACTGAAGGTTGTATTGAACGAATCACAATTTCTGCGAAAAAACTAACATATTAATCGTACTTTCGTCCAGGTAACAATGTAAATGATTGTCAGTAAAGTTTTCAAGCCGCTCCGGTAAGTTGTGTAACGTTAGCCTTTACTGACAACCGAAACTGGACTAGGATTCAATATCACAGAATGTTTAGGCGATACTTTTGTAACGTTACTGACTAAAAGTCACAAAGTTTCTGTTGGTTAGGGTTTGATGCTGTTTATTTCTCGTGGCTTTGTAAACTATCACGTTGCTTAATTTGTTTTTCATGAGGAAATAATGACGTGACGCACCAACAGAAGCTCTTGGAATATTACACTTGAGGGTTTACTACTCAGAAATGACAGAAATTCTGCGGAGAATACACAGCTGCTTTCTAAAAGTGGTGTTGTTCCCCAGCACCTTTGGGAATAAAGCGCTTCGTCCTGCCGCCTCTGAAGTATTAACATGTCACCTCACACAGCGCGCGCTCCCGCCATGGACCTCGTTCTGCGTGCGCTACCGTGACGTCATCAATGACCAGTTCGGTCTGTCCAACTTCAACTGGCAGGTGCAGGGAGCGAACTACCACATCCTTAGAACTGGTGCTTTCCCTTTCATCAAATACCACTGCACCAAAGCACCTCCTCAGAACCTGGAGTTTGAAAATAGTTTTTTTGCTGCATTGAAAGTCGTTAATCTTGGTAAGTTTTATGGGCTACACGTTTTTCTAATATTTCAACAACAACAAAACTAAAGGCATTTATGTTTTCCCTCTCTTTCTTCAAGGTATCCCATGCTTGGCATATGGCTTGGGTTCATGGATGGTAGTTGGTGTGACAGAGTCGGTTCAGACATCTGCAGGACCTGTCACCGTTTACTTTGCGTACAAGGAGGTGGACGGTGCTCAGTTCTAATATTCTAGTATTTGAAAATGACTTGAGTTTCACAGGCCAATATTTGTCATACAGTATTTCAGAAAATGTATGCAAACGCCCTGGAATGCACTTTTGCACACAAAAAATAAAATCATTAATTTTCAACTTCTGAGTTTTCTTTTCAGTATTACAATTTTTATTGAGTTGTAAATATCAGATTGATAACTAAAAATTAATAAAAGCATAAAAAACGTATTTCTCATTTAACATTATTTAACAATAGTATTTTTATTAATAGTATTGCCTAAAATAATAAGTAAGATATTTCCCCAAAATTTTGAGTAATAATTGAAGCTATTTAAATAACCAGTTGCATAAATAGTAAAAGAGATTTTTAAATTGAAGGGCAAAATTTAGAAGCACTGATTAAAAGTTTGACCATATTATACAAAAATATCTGTTCTTTCCGAGGTAAAATACTTAATTACATGTCTTTTATTATTATTTACTATAAATTGGTTATTGTGTTTTTTCATCCATTTGTTGCAAGTAGGTAAGCTTATTTTGAAATTTACATGGGATGCAGATTATTAGGCATTATTATGATGCATCTCAATGTATTCTTTAAAGTTTACAAGCTACGCAACTCCTCATTTTCCCACTTGTTTTCCTCCCTAAAGCTAATGCAGAATTTTAAATACCTTCAGCTCATTTATTTAAAGTCAAATTAGAGCCCACGCCCTGCCTGGCATATTGTCAATAGGAAGCAAGAGGGATTGTTAGGAGGACAGGTCTGATAAAATGGTTTTTAATTACAATAGAGGAAGTGTGGCCTTCGCGCAGAGCCCACCCTAACCCCCTCCCCCTGTCATTCTCGGATGCTTTGATTTCTGATAATGTGCTTTGCTGACTCCAGCTCTCTTCTGCAGGATCTTTCGTCACGTTACCTCTGAGATCGGCTTTGACAAACTACCATATTGATCCTCTAGACTTCTCAAAGCTTTCTTGCCGGGCGCATTAATCAGAGGCCTCGATTTTCTGGCCCTGCCGCCTTCTCTCTTAGTAGCAGCAGCAATGTGATAATATCATGTATTACATGCAAATCAATAGACCTCTCGGCTCTTGTCTTGCGAATCTTAATTCCGTGTGATTTTGATTAGATTGAGCCATTGTCTGATGACTAAATCTTGTAAGAATAATGGCAGTTTCAAACCATCAGGGCTGTATTGAATTGCGAATAGCCCTTATTAAGAATTTCACCCAATTTAAATGTGAGTCTTTGACTGTGTTACATACCTGCCCACTCATTCCCAGTGTATATACAGGCAGGCAGCCCCTATATTACATCATCAGTGAGGGGGCTAATTGGCCTTAATGGAAATCATTTAGACACCCAGCGAAATCTGATCAGCACTATTAGCCTGAACGGCTGGCTCTTCCTTTTCATCTTCGAGTGTTGAACCGCTGCATGGGGAATGCTCAGGCAAGCATGTCTTAATTCCTCATTGACTCTTTGACCTTTACCCCGTCGCTGATACTGTAGCAGACCTGGAGGAGGAGTAGAGCGTCACGGCGTGGTGACGGGCCTTTGTGGCTTTGACAGGCAGACGCGAGCCCCGAGAAACCCGAGCCGATGTCGCGGTGTCCGTGGTGTTCCTGTTTTTGGTCCGTTCCACGAGTGTGGTGCCAAGCCACAGGAGACGACATTAGTCTGAGCGGGTGCTTATCGCTTACACCTCACCTCGGTCAACGGTCTAGGATAACGGAGCAGCAAATTGGTTACTGTAAAGTAACGGAAAATTTAACGGCGCCATGTTAAGAGATCAGTGCCTTGTTTTAAGGGCCTTGCAATCAAGACTCGTGTTTGTAATTGGAGGTCTAAATTACCCTCTCTTGAATATAAGGTACTAATCAACAAAGGATTAAGCACTTGTATTAACAAGTTCAATTACATGCAAATAAAGGAGACCCAAGTTGAAATCTTTAAATACAAACACTATTTACATCTTAGGTGACTAATGAAAATGTGAAAGCGGGATATGGAGCTATATACGTGGTGCATAATCTATTATTTAGCAAGAAAAATCACATTAATTTTTGGATGACATGGAGATGTATGTGTTTGGCAGAAACAATTATTGTATGAATAACCCCTGCAGCTAATTCTGTGAAGGTTATCATTGAGCTCCCAGACCAACTACAGGGTTCTCCGTCAGCAGGGGAATGTCAGCCGCATCACAGTTTGTGTTGTGTGTTTCAGGTACGCCGTGATCTTCGTGTCAGCAGAGGTGTTGAGACAAATAGGTTTGGAATTGAACTTCTGTTGTCATAAGTCATTAAATGATGGTGACAAACCAAGGTAAGCAATTATAGCTCACTGAATCACATTCATGAGGACATCTTCAAGAATGTCAAAAATCTGCCAATGTATTAATTGCATTTGTGTCTCGTGATATTACAGCATTTGGCTGCAGTCCTGAATTCTGATTAAATTCATTTTAGCGAAGAAAATGATTTTCTTATATAGAATAGGGATCACTAGGGTAATGTCATTTCCCCCCGAATGAAACCATCATGTGAATCTCTTGTACATAAAAATAATCATATTTATCTGTTTATTTATATTTAGCTCTTTTTGCATTATTTAAACTCATTATTAGTTGCACATGTTCAATGCACAAATGCCTTTGTATTAAGTCTACTATATATAATAGAGGAAACTACACTGTAAAAAATGATTTTTTGGTGATGTAATTTACATGAAAAAGTTAGTTCAGATGAAGTAAATTCCATATCAGTACTTAATTCTAGCGAGTAGAAATGAAAGTGTAAATATCAACTCAATAAAATTAAGTACAAATGACTCAACTTTTCTGAGACTGGTGTTCCCATCATGCACTGGACCTTGAATAATTAATGAGGTTCATTTTTCACTGTTTTCCAGCTGTATTTACACTGTTTTATCGTTGATTTTTGTTGTCAGTATTAGTAACGTGCCATTTTGTGACATTTCGAGTACAATTTTTGCTCAAAATGACACATTTAAACACAAAAAAACGACCCATCAAATGTTACCGCCATTGTGTATTGTCTAAGTATTGAGGTCACATGATGCTTAACATCTGACATGATGTAATATAAATTACTTGGATGATCTAAGTAAAGCACATACTATAAATGACTAATAACATTCAATATTATTGTTTTTAGTGAAATGTAATGCAAAGGCAAAGGAAATTTCAACTAAATCAATATTAATCAAACCTTTTACTAGCCAAGTTAAAATTACTTATTTTAAGTTTACTTAATTCCATATTCCAAGTAAAAAGATTTCTAATTAAAGCTACTGATAAATATGTTTAGGTTTTTACTTGGCAAATCTTTGTAAGTTTACTAGCATTTTCTGAGTGAAAAAAGTTGCCTAGCTTTTTTCAAATAAATCCTACTCCAATTTGTTTTTCAGTGTAAATGGTAACAATTTTTGCTATAACTCAGATTGTTTATTTTGTGCCATTTGTGTTAAACTTAAAAATAGTTTTCCCCACATTTGTCTGCAGTTAAAGTCATCTTAAAACATTGAACTTATCTCTAAACTATGTACATTAATGTGAAGTACAAAGAGAGTTGTAACAGTATACAGAAAACATAATGCATTTAAAGTAAATTAAAATATATATATATATATATATATATATATATTTTAAAACCATTTGTGTGTGTGTTCCCACACATATTGCAATATCTGAAATCCTTGTCCTTTTGGGGAAATGTTTTGGTCTCCATAAAGAAAACCGCTTATAAACTATACTATATTTATATTATATACTATATTAAAAGTGTGTGTGTGTGCGTGTGAATGTGCGCAGTTACAGTAGGACATGGTTTTGAGTAAAATGCTATAGGCCTACATCAAATGAAACCGGATTCGGATTCAGATGACAATATTTTGTCATTTAATATGCATTAACCTGATCAAATTCGAATCAAGAAGTGAAATGTTGCATCTCAAAATAGTTTTTTGTCATGTAAATCCGTTATATTTTATATTGGACTGAGCTCAGGATAAAGGTTGTCATTTATGATGGTTATTTCATCCCCGTACTTTCCAAGTGTTGTTGTTACTACTGACCCTGTGCTACAACCATTCCTGCTCCCCACTATATAGCCTTTGATAGTTAGTAAGTATATTTTAATGGAGATTTCATCATGTTAGCATAGCATTATCAGACTGAAAAATGAAAATGGATTTAGTGCAATTGTTAAAGCCTTAGTGATTTCTGTGTATTATAATTGCTGACCTCACACCACTGAGACTGGAATTACTTGATGCTTTTTTCACATGCTATTGGGTGCTGAGAGTGGTTCTTATAGAGAGGGGAAAAAGCCATTAAAAATCTATTAAAGCAGATCTTTTTACCCAGAGGGGAAAGCCTTCTCATTACTAAGCAGATTGGAAGGGATGACAAGTGGCTGTATATTTCTTTTTTATTTTCCTTTCTTCTTGTTCTTTTTTTGTGCCCATCAGTATTGCTTCGGCTACAGGCTGAAGGTGTTTCCATTGCTGTCAGTCATGCGAGGCACTGACCCTTTCGAGTCTGGATTCGGGCAAGTGATTCACGATTCAGGCGCGGAACAATTCCTCAAGGCCGCCTCTGAAGCGCTCTTTAGTTCGTGTTTAAATAAATGCAACATTAATTAATGCAGAAGTTCATTAAAAAGTTGTTCATTCGAAGTGCGGATGATGTTATTTAGGAATGCGTGATAAAAACGTGCTTTATGTTAATGGATCATCATCCGACTGATGTAAATGTATCCCGTCTGAATTCGTGTTTTCTGTTTTGATATTTTCGAACATTTAGCTTAATGCATTGTTTTTGGTTCTCCTTCCAGCTGATTACAACTTCGCTTTTGCTTCTCCCTTGGAGCTTGAAAGATGCCTCGCTCATATTTACTGTTTACAGTGTTGACACTAAGAATAATGGATACTAATGGTGTCTCCATGAATTATTGTGTGAGTTAAATGAACTCTCCATTTTATTATATATTATGCAGTATTTAAAGTTTTGGGTCATTAAAAACCAGACGGCCCCCTCCCCCCGCCCCAAGTTTGTCTTTTACCCCCTGCCAGTGTGCAGCGATGCCCTTGTTGCCACAGGCTACATCAT